CTGTTGGTGATCAAAACGGATAAGGTTATTCCTGCCCTTGGCTGTTTATACTCCTGCCCTTGGCTGTTTATACTGTAATCCTGGAGCTACTGATTTGGTAGCACCCATGCGACTGGAGCATAGCGACTGATGCAGAGACCAGCTTGAGATGAGACCACCTGTGTGGTGGGCAAGGAACTGGTGATATAAGCATATAGTTATGGGAAAGAGTTTGAACTTATTCTTGCTGTGATGACAAGCCATCAAAGGCTTACTACTGGGGAGTCCAACTTCAGTTTTATACAAGATTATGCTAAGCAGTGGTGGAAAATAGTGGGTATCAGAGGAGAAGCAGAGGATTCAGTTGGTTGGATTTTATGGTAATCAGGCAAGCTATGATGGTGACCCAGACTAAAGTAGTGGCCCTAGAGCTAGAAAGAAGTAGATTGATAAAAAACTGTTTAGAAGAATTAATAAAACTTGATGGATAGGATTTGGGGGTAGCAGGGTGATAAGGTTAAGGTCAAAGGACATGTCAAGGACCTTTCTACGTCTTTGGCTTGAACAACTGGATAGGTGGAAATCCCGTGTCTTGAGGTGGAGAGCATGAGAGGAGGAGCTGATTTGGAAGGGACAGTCCAGTGTTCAGCTTGGGGTATGTAGAGTCTGGTGGGGAGGGTGTGTTTGTAAGGTAAGGGAGCACAGGGACTGTCCTTTCTTGAACTCTGGTAACTGGCTTGTGGTCTGGATACAAGTTATAATACATAAACCGTTTCTAAAACCCAACAGATTTTACAGGTTTTCAGTTCACAGGTAAGTTGCTATAACTGATGATGCCTCTGTGGTCTTTCAGATAGCGCAGCACTCTAAAAATTTCTATGTATTTGGTAGTCAAAACATTAACAATATTCATTTTATAGTCAGTGCTCACTTACTGTGATTGGTCTTCCTTGGTGTTCCTAGAACCGTGCCTCTCTGGCCCACAAGGTCAGGTTACAGATTTGATCTTTACATGGTTAAGTTGGATTTTCTAAGTTGTCTTTTGACAGGCTGCATCCCTCACCTTGGATGGCTGACCTCGTAACTGATTAGGAAGGAAACTGCTCTACAGTTGTTATGAACTAGGACTGATTTGTCTTTCCTACTACTTAAGACTCAAAACATATGTTCTACCTACACTGGGACTCTAATGGCCTTTGTTTACAAAGGTGGAGCCCAAGAGATATGCACTTCTCACATTGGCTATGGTTATATCTCCTTTGGCATTAAGTATGCATTTATGGAGAAGTAGAGCCACACAATTTTACTTCTCTTTTGATTTCCTGTGGACAATATTTTTATTCCTTCAACAAGTATAAGTAGGCCATTTAAAGGCTGGGAATGTAAGTGTTTTGTTATTTGCTGTACCTCCAGTGCCTGGCACAGGGACTGGCACGCATACGGCACTTGATAAATATTTATTAAATACATGAGTGAAAGAAGGAATGGCTGAATCATTGTTCTGTGAGAAAGGATAATTCAGTTTTCAGAAACCAAGGCAGCAGGCAAACTATATTTTCCTCTAAGATTATGTCCCTGGAACCTGCTGAGAAATCAAAGCTGAAAAATAGAAATTTGGGCATCATCCTGATAAAAAGAATTACAAAAATCATGAAAGTGGAAGCCCTTTAGTGTGTGCAGGGGACAGTAGGGATAGAGGAGAAGCGAACAGCAGAGAAACGGGTTGAAAGGAGGAGTGAAGCCTCAGGAAAGCAAGGAGTCCCGTGGAAGCAGGAGCAGTCAACAGTGGAGAGCTGGGAGGTGCGAAGGGATGCAGATACAAAGACACCTTTTCATCTGGCCAGAAGTAACTTAGGAAAGTGCAATCAGAGCCTGGGACACAGTGTAAAGTAAGACTGAGAATTCTGTCCTTTTATCTATATTCCTCATTACTAATGATCGTAATTGAGGGGCAAGTTTTTCTTGAGCAAAGATGTAGTTTTGATTTTCTGCTACATAAAGCCCAGCATCATAAGACACTCTTGGCAATGATATTGAAGGGTTTATTTTGTGATTTCTTGTAAGCTGATTATTTACTGATCAATGATCAAGGCCAGTTTTTTCATTGATCCTATTAAAGGTAATAATGTTTGATATATATAATATACGTATTTATGTGTATGTGTGCACACATGTCCACACATGTTGATAAATTTAGGAGAATTACAAAAAAGTCACAGTAGGAAAAGATTTGAAAATTGACTTGAGTTCTAATGTGAAAAATATAGGTCATTTATCCAGAGTTATTTGGAAGCATTTCAGTTTAAATTCCATTAAATTCTCTAGTTCATAAGAATGCTACAGAGCTACAATAATAACAATATAGAAACTTGGGTTGTGCTAATACATGGGGTTGTGCCAGTAATGTGTGTGTGCATGCATGTGTAGGTATATGGCTAATTGTATGTGTGTGTGTGTGTGTATGCACACACACATTTGAGTCTTTTTAGGATGTTACCATTTGCAAAGGAATTAATTCTTACATAAGTAAGTTTACTTTATAGAAATGAAAGTAGTAGCTACTGTTTATTCTGCAGCTCTTTTGTTCCAAGCATGTTACAGTAATCCTGGGAAGGAGGTTTTATGATTCTTAAAGTGAAGAAGTTGAAGTTCAGAAAGTTTAAATGATTTGCCTGAAGTCACAGAGCTGGAAGATAGGAGAATCCTGCCTTTTTTTTTTTAATACTCATGCATTGTCCAGTGTGCAGTTAGAGTCCTTAGGGTGTAAGAGTGAGTTACGTGTTTGGTTGGGGGCCAATTAATCTCCATAGAGAAAACAGAAACCATTAGATGAGAACTTTTTCAACATTTTGCACCTAATCTATTTAATATCCATAGCTACACCTATTTTTCTTTTCTTTCTGTTAAGAGGAAAAGGCTCTTGCCTCCAAGCACTTCATCCTTTTTATTTATCTGTATCTCTGCCTGCACCTCTTCCCTTACTAGCTTCTTCCCATGAGCATAAACCAATTTCTCCCTGTCTTAGTCCGTTTAGGGTTGTTATAAATACCTGAGTCTGAGTAATCTATAAAGAAAAGAGGTCTATTTCTCTCACAGTTCTTCTGGCTTAAAGTTCAAGATTGAGCATCTGGTGGGGGCCTCAGGCCACTTCCGTTTGTGGTGAAAGGTGAAGGGGAGCTAGCATGTGCAGAGATCATGTGGTGAGAGAGGAAGCAAGGGAGTGGGAAGGTGCCAGTCTCTTTTAACAATCAGCGCTGGCGGGAACTAATAAGAGTGAGAACTCACTCACCCCCTGACCCCAGGGAGGGCATTCATCTTTTCTTGAGGGATACTCCCCCATGACCCAAACACCTCCCATTAGGTTCTACTCCAATACTGGGGATCGGATTTCAACATGAGGCCGGGCGTAGTGGCTCCTGCCTATAATCCCAGCACTTTGGGAGGCTGAGGCAGACATATCACCTGAGGTCAGGAGCTCAAGACCAGCTTGACCAACATGGTGACACGCAGTCTCTACTAAAAACAGCTGGGCATGGTGGCACCTGCGTGTAATCCCAGCTACTCGGGAGGCTAAGGCATAAGAATCATTTGAACCCAGGAGGTGGAGGTTGCAGTGAGCCAAGATCATGCCATTGCACTTCAGCCTGGACTACAGAGTGAGATTCGGGCTCTAAACAAATAAATACATTCATTCGTTCATTCATTCAACATGAGGTTTTGGAGGGACAAACACCTAAACCATAGCACTCCCCAAAGGCAATACCTTCTGTATTAGTTGTAATGTTGCATAACAAACCACTCCAAAGCTCAGTGAAGTAAACCAGTACCATTTATTTAGCTTACTGTTTTGTGGGTCAGCAAATTAGGCTGGGCTCAACTGGACTCACTTGTATACCTGTGGTCAGCTAGACAGCTTCACCTCTGGAGAAGTAGCTGACCAGTGGCAAGGACCTTCAGGGTGACTGCAGTCTGTACCTTTCTTTCATTACTCAGCACACTGGCCTAAAGTTCACATGGTTGCTTGAGAGGGTTTCAAGAGAGAAGCCTATAAATCATCTTGAGGTGTAGGCTGGGAGCTCATGTAGTATCCCTTCCTCCACATTCTGTTAGCCAAAGCATGTCACAATGCCAGCCCAGGTCCAGCGGGGTGGAGAAGCAGGCTAGTAAGCCATGGAACTTCTCATTGTCATTAACCCCAAATCATATTGTTGGGATCAACAATATCACCCTTGATTTGGGGTTAATGACAATGAGAAGTTCCATGGCTTACTAGCCCCTTGATTTGGGGTTAATGTTAGATCTCATAGTTAGATGACCACCTCAGGCTGCGTTTGTGCCTGTGCTCTGGGTTCCCTCTCTCACTGCAGTTAGAACATCATGTGGCCGCTGTTGGTTTATTTCTCGGTGGAAAGTGAGCCTCTTAAAACCAAGGACTGTGTATCAACCCAGAATTTGGCTTGTAGAGGAGGTAACGAAAAGCTGAAGTTGTTGTGAAAGTAGATGTCAGACCATTGGTATCTGGCAGCATGGAAATTGGGATTCAAGATAATGTATGCTTGTGTCTTCAAACTTGCTTGTTGATGTTTAAAAACTTTGGAGCAAACTCATTCTAACATATCAAAATCAAATATTTCTTTGAAAAAAATGGAGGGGGTAAAGAATCCTGGCTAGGATTCTGAGTAGAAATCATTTAATGCTTGCACACTATCTTTGTAGGTTTTTCATGAGGTTACATGTTTGTTTATAAGGAAGTCAAGTTAATTTCGTGACGTGTTTGTCAGAGAAGACTGTCCATTAACTGATTCATTGGGATTTGGGATAAAATTTCTATTCTAGAATGTAAAATGGAGGAAGGGTGTCAGTCAGCATCCTAGATATTACTCTAGAAGATGTTGAACATAAATATTTCTGTTAGAATGAGTAGTAGCATTTACCTTAAGGGAGTTTGTCTTGAAGTGAGTATGTCTTATATGTGCACTGATTCTTAATTGATTGTTTTTCACATGCATTTTGTGTTTTAGGTTCAGCTGTCTATATATCTCCCTAGATACCTAAAACTGACTACCTGACCACATCTTCCCATTGCTGAGCTATTTCCCTGATATCTGGCCATGCAACGGAGATCAAGAGGGATAAATACTGGGCTTATTCTACTCCTTTCTCAAATCTTCAATGTTGGGATCAACAATATTCCACCTGTCACCCTAGCAACTTTGGCCCTCAACATCTGGTTCTTCTTGAACCCTCAGAAGCCACTGTACAGCTCCTGCCTTAGTGTGGAGAAGTGTTGCCAGCAAAAAGACTGGCAGCGTTTACTACTCTCTCCCCTTCACCATGCTAATGATTGGCATTTGTATTTCAATATGGCATCCATGCTCTGGAAAGGAATACATCTAGAAAGAAGACTGGGAAGTAGATGGTTTGCCTTTGTTATCACCACATTTTCTATACTTACTGGAGTGGTATACCTGCTCTTGCAATTTGCTGTTGCTGAATTTATGGATGAACCTGACTTCAAAAGGAGCTGTGCTGTAGGTTTCTCAGGTAAGGGAGACAAAATTTTGAGGTTGCATGCATAAAGGAAGCAAGGGAGGTGTGGCTGCTGTCATTTTATGAAGTGTGGGTGCCTAGTTGGTGAGAGGAACCAAATTCTAAGTGGTTAATGGCTGCTGATGCTTTGCATCTTGAAGAGGAGGCTGGAGCATGCAAGGACTAGTTTTTGCCATTTAACATTATGCTGCATCATCCACTCTTAGACAGTCTGCACTAGGACCTGCTGGGAGGTGGTTTGTAGAAGACATAGTATTGGAAATATGCACCAGCTCCATATGGTAGGGTCACAGAAAGACCCACAGATGTATCTGTAATAGGGAGGTCTCAAAAAAGATGACTGTGCTTGTGAAGTAGGCTCAATGTGCCGTCTCTGATTACCAACTTGTCTGCACCTGGTGAGACAGAGCACACTCATCTGCAACAAGTTACGTGAGGCAGATTTAGTATTGACAGTTAGGCAGCAAGGGACAACAGGAGCCTAGGATTCATTGTGAGCCCGTCCTTCAAGGCTCAAAAAGCTGCCCAGGGCTGTTGGAGTCTTGACTGTGTGTGCTCCTTTCATGCAGATAAGGAACCCCGAAGAGGCAGCCAGGTACAAACCTGGGAATCACATGAATCACTAGGCAAAGCTTTGAAAGACATCCTATTTAGGGAGTGGATTAGGCTGTTTCAGCCAACCCCCTTTTATCTCAGGGTGTTGAATTTCCAGCACATTTCCACAGTTTTTCTTGAGAACAACAAGCGAGAAAGGAGGGGGAGAACTACATAGGTCCAAGTCCACCTGGAGAACTGTCCTGCATATGCCTCCGGATGACTTTGTTAATAAATGCACTACACCCTGGTATGGCATGCTGGCCCTGTTTTAGGAGCCATGATAGTCACTCTGCATAACCTAACCAATTTAATTTATACAGCAGATCCATGTGGAGATGGGATTGTCTTGATTTTATTTTATTATTTTTTTATTTTTTTGAGACGGAGTCTCGCTCTGGTGCCAGGCTGGAGGGCAGTGGCGTGATCTCGGCTCACAGCAACCTCCGCCTCCCAGGTTCAAGCAATTCTCCTGCCTCAGCCTCCCGAGTAGGTGGGACTACAAGGCACGTGTCACCATGCCCAGCAAATTTTTGTATTTTTAGTAGAGACGGGGTTTCACCATGCTGGCCAGGATGGTCTGTATCTCTTGACCTTGTGATCCACCCACCTTGGCCTCCCGAAGTGCTGGGATTACAGACGTGAGCCACTGTGCCCGGCCTTGATTTTATTTTACTTTTTTTATTTTTAATTTTTTTTTTCTGACCACCTGTGGACTGTTGGGGGATTGTCCTGATTTTATAGATGAGGAAGCCAAGACCCAGAGAAGTGAAGTCACTAGCACAAGGTTACCCAGCTAGGAAGCGATGGAGCTTGGATTTGAACCCAGTCTGCGTATTAGCTATATGATGCATTGTCTCTCACCTTCTTCGTCACTAGTTCCTTTTTACAGATATTTCATGGGACCAAAATTTCCAGCAGGATTTAAATTAGGTGTTCTAAATATTAGAATGTGAAGGGGAAGAGAGAAAAGTCCTGAAACAAGGAAATCTAATCTAATCCTTCCTTCTGCTTTTCCTGACATCCTTCCCCTTTCCTTCCAAGATGTGTCCTTATGCATCTAATTGTGGGAGAAGAAAGAATATATGCCCTGCCTTCAACATGTTTTTCCATAGAGGTTAGAAAAATACAAATTACTGGTATTTTTATTGAGTTAAAATTATATAGCATAACTATTTTATTTTATAGTGTACAGTTCACTGGCATTTAATACCAATGATAGTATTTTATTCACATGTTAGGTATTATGTATTTAGTAGCATACTGAACACCAATATGAACTTCTATATTTAGAAACATCAAAGGCGTGACTGCCTTTAACGTTGTCTTTTTACCGAATGCAGGATTTTAAGGAATAGGGTATGTTTTAAAGCAAAAAGTTGGATGTAATCGAATAATCATTTTCACTTTTAATTGGCTTTCTTTGTAAATGTTGATACTCCTACTTTGGGATTGTTAATATTTGCATGTTCTTCATTCTCTTTTAGGAGTTTTGTTTGCTTTGAAAGTTCTTAACAACCATTATTGCCCTGGAGGCTTTGTCAACATTTTGGGCTTTCCTGTACCGAACAGATTTGCTTGTTGGGTCGAACTTGTGGCTATTCATTTATTCTCACCAGGGTAAGTGTTTTCTTTTAGGGAATACAGTGGAAGAACCTGATGTTCCATGGAGAAAAAAAAATTGCAATAATAACAAGGAAACCACTTGTTTTCCACAGTGAGGTTTATTCTTTATCTATTAGGACAGAGTCAAGCTTGATGGTTTTAATGTCAGACATTTCTGGGTTTAAATCTTGTTAACTATTGAGCTGTATAATTGTAGGTTACTTGTCCTAACTGAGTTGCAGATTCCTCGTTTTTTGACTAGGAGAAACTGTTATACAGATTTGAGGATCAATATTAACCGGCCAATTAGCTGGTTAATTCTGAAAGCAATATTCCAAAGAAGCACATAGAAACCATATAACTATAAAGATTTAAAAGCTATAAGATATGTTGATCTAATGCTTTTTTTTGGTCTGTCTGTTTCTGAGATGGAGTCTCACTCTGTTACCCAGGTTGGAGTGCAGTGGCGTGATCTCAGCTCACTGCAACCTCCACCTCCCCGGTTCAAGCAATTCTCCCGCCTCAGCCTCCCAAGTAGTTGGGATTACAGGCTCCCACCACCACGCGCAGTTAATTTTTGTATTTTTAGTAGAGACGGGGTTTCACCATGTTGGCCAGGATGGTCTCCATCTCTTGACCTTGTGATCCACCCACCTTGGCCTCCCAAAGTGCTGAGATTATAGGCATGAGCCACCTTGCCCGGCAGATCTAATGCTTTTAAGCCATTTTAGCTGTCAGTTGTCTTGGTAATAGAACTTTTTAAACAAAAGGCTTTACTTGACACTCAAAATGTGAAATGGATCAGCTCTGAAGTCTTTTGGGTTGAGAGGTGGCACGGGGCCCCTTTCACTGTACTCCCATGTTGCTGTGGCTTCCTCAGAGGAGGCACCTCCACAAAACCCTAATGCTCCAGGAAGTGCAATTTCAGAACTGCTGATCTCTAGATGAATTTTTTCCCTTACAGAGAAGGACTTGGAAATTCGGAAGGTTAAGAGACTTGTCAACAAACAGTTTGTGGTAGACACCAGCCTCATGAGGATTCAGGCCCCCTGACTCCTGTCTGGGGCTCTTGCCTATTCATGCTGCACTTTCTTCCTTTGGTTCCTTTCTCTGCTTTTTGTTTAGGAAAAGGAGGATAAGTTGTATTATTTGTCCACCTCTTCCACCAGCTTCACTTTCCTTAATCTGTCTTGTGCAACTGGAAATACATGATATTTGTTTTTACTGTGGGACTGGATATTGGCGAAGGGTGAGATTCAGGAAGGTTCAGAAAGAAGGAAGATTTCTGTTTGCTACTGTTCTTTACAGACAGTTTTTATTTTGGTTTTGATTTGTGTGACTGTACTGAGTGTCTTACCTTTTTCGAGAGTATTCTCATTGGGCTGTGTGTCAGCCCGGTAACTCCGGGTCCTTCTTTAATGCTAATTTCCCATCACGGGCAGCCCCTGGCAACTGGCCTATAAATGGCAGTGATGTGGTCCCTGAGTACTACTCATTTACAATTGTATTGCTACTTTTGACAGTTCCACGAAGAAAGTCTAACAAAATCTTCAAAGTTTTCTTTGAAAAAGCATCCAGTAATGTCTGTCCCTTATCTGAACAGCCCTCTCTATACCTTGTCACTCACTGCTCCTCTGACTTGCTTGATGTGACTTGGTTCTCTGTGTCAATGATAGGCTCTTGTATGTGACTGGCAACACCCAGCATTCATATGAAAATCACTCCCTCTGCTATTTGAACTTTTATCCTGTGATGAATCCGTTGAATAACAGTGCATTTGATATTCTTATGCAACTATTTCTGAAGAGCTTTTTATGCATTTCACTTTTTAGGGTTCCCCCCAACTTACATGGAAAAGGCATGGTTGCGTTTTTATGTCATATGCATATTCTGTGTGGAGGGACCGGTAATTCTGAGCTTGGGAAGTAAATGAAATTTCCTGTCTTTGAACTTGAAGTCTTTTGATTTTTAAGATTTGACTGCTTTGAATGATAAACTTCTAATATACAAGCATCTACTTATGCATGTATCCAAATAAAGACTACACTAAACACCGGTCCAGGAAACCTAAGCAGTGAATGCTTCTTTGAGACAGATCTTGGAAGAATGGGTGAAACTGGAGCTCTCTTTGCAATGCATTGTTATTTGCCTGATGGTTGTCAATTAGAATTTTCATTGGGAAAACACTGTAAATCTTTACAACAAAACTTGCTTTATTGCAGGACTGTATGGGCTGCCCTTTCGGAGGAAAACAAAATCTGCCAAAGCAAACATTTGGTGGACCTCTGTGTTTTATGAAAGCCACGGAATTAGTAATTTCCGTGGTTACAGTTACAGAGTTTTATGAAGGAAAGCCACTCCAAATAGGCATTGTGAGGAGTATGAGGGGTGTGGACTTGATGCCAGAGTGAAGCAATCTCACTCATTCACGTGGTGCTTTTGCTTCTCACAGTCTCTGTGTGTACTTACTTCAGAGGTTGCTCTGCTTCACACATGGCTTTCCATTTTCCTTCATGGGACCCTGATAGGTGATAGTGTCTGAAGAGGCGTCCAAGGAGGGAGGTGTGCAGTCCACCTCTGGTGCCTCCTTCCTAGACTGGGCTCCTGTCCCTTCCCCCCTCCTACCCCCAAGATTCTGTTGATGGAAGGAAGGGGGATATGTTGCCTGGTTTTACCTTCTAGCCAGATTGTGGACCTCTGTGTGTTCTCACCTGAGACTTAGGCCATCTAGACAGAAAACCGAAGTGGAGAATCATGAACATCACCCAGAGTAAAAGAGCCGCTCAGCAACTGTGCTAGAGGAGAGCGGTTGAATGTGAGGGGGCCAGGCTCACATACTGGCTGTGGGATCTCGGGCAAGGTACATAGCCTTTCCGAGCCTCATTTTCCTCACCTGTGAAATGGGATATTACTTACCTTCTCTGTTTAATAAGTCAGTTTTAAGGAGTCACATGTGAATGACCTCTTTGTAAACAATAAGTACTCACCCCTTTTATTACGAAGTAAATCTCTGGATGTGTACACTGTTCCTAAATAGAATCATACCTAATTTCTTTTTCTTTCTAAAATTAATAAATCAGCTGTTATTTAATTTTGTTTGTTTGACTTCCACTCCCTACTTCCCTTTGCTCCTACCTGACTTTTTTCATCCTTAATGACAGTAGTCTAAAAATGCCCATAAGCCACTCGTAAATACTAAATAAGCAAGCCTTGGCTGCATTTGGACCCTGGGGTATTACAGTTGACCCCTGAACAACTTGGGGGTTAGGAATGCTGAGCCCCCATGTAGTTGAAAATTCATGTATAATTTTGGACACTCCAAAGACTTAACTATCAATAACCTACTGTTGACTGGTTAAGTCAACCTACCCAAAAACTGGTAAGGCTTTACTGATAACATACACACACATTTTGTATGTTATATGTATTATGCACTGTATTGTTACAGTAAGCTAGAGAAAATAAAATGTTTTTTAGATCATCATAAGGAAGAGAAAATGTATGCACTATTTGTTAAGTGGAAGTAGATCATTATAAAGGTCTTTATCGTCATTACCTTCATCTTGAGGAGGAGGAGGAAGAGCAGAAGGAGTTGGTCTTATTGTCTCATGGGTAGCAGAGGTGGAAGAAAATCCTCATGTAAGTGGACCTGCATAGTTCACACCCATGTTGTTCAAGGATCCACTGTATTTGGTAAAACATGGCAGCTGAAAGCATTACCCCCTAGGCTTTAGATACTGTTTCATTGCTAATATTTGACAAGAATAAAATTACTTTGACCCAACTAAAAACTCTTTGGCTAAATTGATCAAATGAGATAAATATATATATATATTTTTACTTGTTTCCATTTTTTATTATACAGATTTTCAATTTACTTATTTTTCAATTTAAATTTTATTTTCAATTTATTTTTCTACTTGTTTCAATTTTTTATTTTCAAAAATATTTATAAATTTATAAATTTTCAAACATAAAGAAAAGTTGATGCACCATTTGACAGTAAGTTGTAAACATAGTAACTTCACCCCTAAAAACTTTAGCAGGCATCTCTTAAACATAAAACTATAATTTTACAAAACCACATTACTGTTGTCATGCAAAGGAAACTTAACAGTAATTCTTTAATGTTGTTTAGTAATTGGTTCATGTTCAGATTCTCCTAGTGTTCAAAATATCTTTAATAACTGTTGTGGCCCAAGGAGAACCAGGATCCAAAATTCACATATTACCTTTGATTATTATATTCATTTATTCTTGTATTCTAAGACGGTCTTCCCACCTTTTTACTTTTCCATGAAATTGACATTTTAAAGATATCAGATCTCTTGTTTTCTAGAATATCCCACACTCTAGACTTATCTCCTTGTTTCCTTTGGGGCTTGTTTAACTTGTCCCTCTATCCCTTGCTTTTCTGGAAACTGAAAGTTAGCTCTAAAGGCTTAATTAGATTCAGATTAAACTGGCTCTTTTTTGGCAATAATACTCCATAGGGATGATACATGTTGCATTACATCAGGAAGGACATACATGCTAGGTGGCTCCTCTGTTAGGAATTACAAGTTTAATTACTTGGTTAAGATAGTCTCCATTATAAGGGCACCTTTATCCCTTTGGAATTAGCAAGTACTATATGAGGTGACACTTGGACACCATGCAGATAACTTGTTTCCAGTAACTTTTTGTCTTATGGTTTTTGTATAGATCAGTGGTTATCCTTGTCTGGATTGTTTATTTTAGGGAGAGTTATAAAGGATGACTTTCTCATTGGTTATTCTTTTTACACTTGTTTGATGAGATTAATCCAGAGTTGGGGGTTAAGACCCCAAGACAAGGAATTGAGGAAGATGAATGTTTGTCAAAGGCTGATCTTAGTTTTACAGACTTCAAGCTTGTTTGGTTTTGTGGGTTCTCCTTAGGAAAAAAGTACAAAACTGCACAAAAAAGTAAAAATTTTAAATGAGAAAGGGAAAGACAGTTCATAAAATTTTAAGAGCTGACAAATATTATAAACA